GTTCTGCAGGGAGCCTCCGGATCATGGATTAGGAATTGTGGTGGGACCCTGTCAGACTCTCCATGTTGAAGTGGGTCACCAAAGGTCACGCAGTTCCCAAGGCACTGCTCCTTGCAGCCCTGAGATCATGCCCAGGATGAGAATGCCTGTGCCCAGGGGCACATCAGGTAGAGTGAAGAGCTGGGATTGGATCCCTTGGCCAGGCTGCTGCTTCTGCAATTGTCCAGCTACCACAGGACAGGAACAAAAGAAGCCACAGAAATCAAAGAGCTGAGGTAAACCGGAATGCAGGGCGAGAAGGGAGGGCCCAAAACAGCCTTTGCTTCTAATGGTGGGAACTGCTGAGTCTTTTGAGGGACTGAAAAGGGGACACAGTAGCAGAGCTGAAGGGCCGTGTCCCCCAGGAATCAGGAAGGAAAGGGAATTAAGGCAGCCAGATTTTATGGGTCAGTGCTGGGCCCCAAAGCCTAACCGAACAAAGGATTTGGCTCCACCTCCAGCAGCCATCTGATGACATGTCCCAGGTTGGGGTCTCCACCAACCCTCCCACTCACTGATGCTCACCCTGCACCCAGAACTACTCAAGAAGCAGCAGGGATGGGATGAGTCTCCAGGAAGCCTGCAGTTGGGGCAGATTCAGGGGTGCAGTTCAGGACTGATGTAAAAAGTAGATTTACCTCGAAGCTACTGATGCTTCCAGCACAGGCCTCTCATTTATAGGAGCCCATTCCAAGCCCCCAGGAGAGGCTCCAGCAATGTAAGTAAGAAGATATCTTCTCATTCCACTGGGACCTCCCCTCTGTCCCACATAATGCACTCTGCCCCCATCAAGTGGCACTGGAGTGGCCCCAGGTATATGGGGGGTCTGGAGAGGTTCAGCTAAGAATATGTTATTTAATCTATAATCTGGAAGGATGCTTTGAAATGTTGCAATAAAACAAATGAGAAGTTATGGTCTTCCACTTTAGACAAATATTATTTTGTCATCCTTAAATTTTTAATTAAGGAACAGAGAAAATTTAGATAATTATTGATGGGGTCAGGCATGGTGGCTCTCACCTTTAATCTCAGCACTTTGGGAGGCTGAGGTGGGAAGATCACTTGAGCTCAGGATGTTGAGGCTACAGTGAGCTATGATCACACCACTGCATCCAGCCAGGGTGACAGAGCAAGACCCTGTCTCAAAAAAAAAAAAAAAAAAAAAAAAAAAAAAGAAAAGAAAAGAAAAGGAAAAAATAAAGAAAGAAATTACTGTTAATCAAATTACATTTTTAAATGTTCAGATTTTACCATGAAGAGGTAGAAATAAATTCCTAATAAAAATAATAAGCAGGCTGTTGGAATATTTAGTAATCTAATCAAGAAAAGTGAGTCCTATGAAGATATTGGGGAAACATTTAAATTTCTTGATGAATTAATCAAAACTGACAACAACAAAGAAAACACTAAACATGAATACCATTAAAATGTGGGTCTAGATGTGTATGTCGTCATTCAGAGAGCATTTCAGGTCAATCACCATACAGAAAATTTGACATGCCCTAAAGTCATACAGTGCAGATGGGATAGAAACATGGTTCAAGTCTTCCCTAATTTTTTTTCAACAATTTACTATAATGTATATGACATTATCAATTCGTTATGAAGTTGAAATGAATTTTTCTCAACTACCGATTTTTTTCAGAAAATGTTGTTTGACCAGCCCTGCCAGAGGAAAGACTGAATTACCTTTCTATTATGACTCTAGAAAATCATTGTCATATGAAGAGGGAAACAGCAAGTACCCAGCCAAAAATACAGGAAGGAAAATATTACAATTACAGCAGTACGTCTGGAAGCCATACTGCTTCCAGTAATTAATATGTTTTTGCAGAGTTTTGTGATGCTTACATTATTTATCAACTTTTTAAAAATGTGTAGTTCATTTCGATTATTGTATCATTTTGAATAAGTATTCACTTTTATACCTAGTTTTGTACTCACAATTTTGTATCCTTTTTCTTTACAAAGTCCCCTACATTTAATATGGAATCATAGAAACTAGATGGACTGTGACTGAGGTGGTGACCAGGCATGGGCGCAGACACAAACTCTGCACAGCCTCGGGCACCTTAGCCCAGAAACCACCTCTAGGCCCTGTGACCCAGAGCCAAGCTAAAAACCCACAGGCGTGGAGCCCCACTGGCAGGCGCCAGCTCTGCATCCCTCGACACCTCCCCTGGTTCAGGCGCCCCTGATTCAAATGGGGACAGGACTGGCATCTGGTCACTAGATATCTTGTCCCCAGATTAGCTTTTGAGTCATTTCCAACCCTGTTCTTTTTAAAAGACTGATGGTGTGTACTTTCACATTCCCGGAAAGCAAATAACATGAGTTTCTGGAGGATAAACTGGCAATACATATTCAAAGGTTCATACTCTTTGGCCTGGCAATCCCCCTTACAGGAATCTACGAATAGGAATGATCAGAAAAAAGGACAAATATGTAAGCAAAATAAGGTTCCCACAGCATTGCATGACACAATAATGACACAATACCAACAGTGTTAACAGAAAGAAAATCCTTCTGTTATGTCTCTCCCTTGTCACTAGGTATCCACAACCCGAAGAAATTTACCAGCATATTAACTAAAATGCTCTGAGTGGTACAATTTGGAGTGATGGTTGTTTTCTTCTTTATGCATTTGTGTGTGTGTGTGTGTAACACAGATGACTTTATCAGAAGAAAATGCACTTTTAAAATGAAACAGTCGTAGAAGGAAATTAATCAGACACCTAAACTAGGAGGCTGACACAACTGCTCCCAAAGGAATGTCTTAGTACCCATCAGTATTTCTTTAAAATAAATGGCTTCATCAGGCTAAAAAATGGGCCTGCCCACCTCTTTTCTCAGGGTCCCTGGAGCCTTTGCTCAGACAGTTTGATTCAGTAATGCTCATAAATATGGAGCGGCCCTTTGCAAGATTCCTTGCATTTTAACGTGGGGGTAGTTCTCATCTCCTCCGTGGATGGGCGATTGCAAGCAGTCTCTTGCTCCTCATTTCTGCAAGAGCCAGTGAGGTGTGTAGACTGGGATGCCTAAGAGGGAGACACGTGGAAATGCCCATCTTCTGACCAGGGAGTCCCTTGGACCTTGAAAGCAACCAGAGAGCAGAGAAAGAACAGTAGCCCATGCAGATGAACTTACCTCCGCCTTCTGGCCTTGCTGTTGTCTTCTGTCAAGTGGGGAGATGACTCTGAGTCATCTCCGAGGGCTCCCCAATTCTGCACGTGAGCTTCCTACGAGCAGGGAAGTTGACTGGCATGGTGCCTCATGTGAAGGTCACAGGGAGGACAGGGAGTTCACCCCATCCAGCGCGAATGCCCTTCCTTCATCTTAGCTTGGGTGGGGGGTGTCAGTATTTCTCATCCTGAAGTCAAGCTACCTACTCTGGTCTACTGGAGTCTCTTCTGAAACAAGGCTAAGTTATGTAAATACACAAACTAAACATGCTTTTCAGGCATAATTTTTAAAACAGAGATGAGGAATGGAGAAATAACCAAAAAAATCATGTACCTTCTCTGTGCCTGGTTTATGTCTGATTTCGTAGAATCCAGCAGACTATACACATGGGACAAGCCTGTGAACGTGGCTATCACCTCTGAGTTTCAGAGGGTGGGTGACAGACTAGGACAGGCTGGCGCCACCACCCAGCACAGCCTGCAGAGGACACCTACACATGGGGACTCGGTGTGGATCTTGGTGGCACAGGGGAGTCTGCATTGGCCAGGGAGCCCTGGAGCCCAATCTCAGGAAGGGAGGTGCCGCAGGGAAAATGGAGGGCCACAGATCAAGACAGAGATTCGTTTCTGTGTACGGTGCAGAGAGAGGTCCCCAGGGACAAGCCAGGATGTCACAAGTGCAGGGTGGGTAGAAGGCATCTCAGAGGCCACCTGCAGAGAAGGATCCCTGCTGACTTGGGCACTTGAACACAATGTGGCCTACAGATCCATCCTCCGCAGAGTCTCTGCACTCACACACTCTCTGATATTCCTCATCTGGACTTTTACACCAAAGGGGTTTTGATGCACCTATCAGCGTACCAAGGCCACTGACAGCCACAGAAATGCGGTAGAGCCAGCCCCATCCAGGCATCAGTCTTTGATCCTATTTATTTTAGACCAGTTTGTGACTTGGTCAATACAGATGCTGCATAGCCAGGAAGCACTGGGTGCAGGCTTCGAGCTCATTCCCACAGATTTAGTGGTCAGGGAAGAAAGGGCAACACCTTGGAGAAGCTTGGGAAATTGAGGCCCAAGAGATGAGGGCCAGGGGGTTAACTCACTCAGCCTCAACTGGCAAAAGCAGATTTGGAAGCAGCTAGAAAACCACATTGTGAATAATGTAGTCTGGCTTGGCCCCCCGCATTTCCTTGTCGTGGGCTTCCAAACCATCCACTTGGAAGTGGCCCATCACCAGCCTCTAATGAAATGCAATTGGTGTTCCCAACCACGTCCCCACCTTCACCAGTCCCAGCAGCCCCTCAGTCCTGGCCGCACACACTTGGGCATGCAGTGCCAGTTGCACCAAGCCAATCTGCTGTGAGATGCCGGGAAACGGTTTGCAAATATTACTTTCCAAATTTATCACACTTGGCCTGGTACCCTGGAAAAAGTTAGTTCTGATTTCAATGTGGATGAGTCTGAGGCCCCAGTCTTTGTCCTCTTGGAGCTGGCTTCGGGTGCTGGGGCCGAAGTCTGAGCTCAGAAAGGGGCCGGGCATTCTCAAGTGGTTCTACTGCCGAGAAACGTGCCGGCCCCTCCACTGACCACTGGCCACCGGCAGAAGCCCACCCAGCCACACAGGGCCTTTCCCAGCACTTTCCAAGCCAGCGAAGGTGACCTCCCTCTGGCAAACAGAAATCCGCGCTGTTGGGAGACAGAGCAGTAGGCATCTACCTCCACAGAGCCATCTTGAGCACCTGGTATGCGCCATATTGTTAGCACGGAACTCTCTCCCCATCCCTGTCTCAGCAGCTTCCTTGGAGCCAGCCGCAGGCCTGAGGAGGAGGAGAGGGGAGTGGCCATCAAGCCATCCCAACTCAAGAGAGAACCCACGGGCCCCATAGGAGGGACCTGGCTGCCCGTCTAGACCCTCAGTCTCTCGCTCTGTGACTCTCAAGTTCCCAATATGTCTGTCTCTCTCTTCTTTTCTGTCTTGATCTGTTTCTTTCTCTGTGTCTTCTTCTCTCTCTGTCTCTGTCTCCCTCTCTGTTTATCCTTCTCTATATCTCTGTCTCTGTCTCTGTTTCTCTCTCCCTCCTCCCCTCCTCTCACTCTCTTTTTCTCTCTCCCTCCTCCCCCTTTTCTTGCATTTCCCTGGGGATGATGGAATTTTCTTCTGCATCACCATGTGGCTAGACAAATCAGCCTTGGCCTTTTCGTTCCTGCATGAGAGGAGAAGGCCCTCCAAAGTCCCACAGGCTCCATGGTGTCTGCTCCAGCCAGGTCCCCTACACAAACCCTCTGAATCGCTGGCTCTGGGGATGGTGACAGCCCTCTTTGCCTGGTCCTCACACTCAGTCCCAGACTGTGTAGACCAACGACCTTGTGTGTCACATCCCTCATGTCCCCCTCTAGGGAAACTGGCCAGAGTGGGAAATCACAGCCAGATTGCAGGTTATGGGCAAGGGACTGAGGGCTCATGTCTGTGAAGAGAGGGGCCTCGAGGGGCCCAGGCAGGGAATGGCAGTGCTGGGAGCACTGTGGAGAGTGGTGGGGTCTGCAGGAACCTGCCCCCAACTAGATGGGGCACCTGCTCTCCTGCTGCATGTCTCCTTTCACATCTGTGGCCAGAGTCTCCAACTTTTCAGGAGAAACTGCAGATCTAGATTTTCATATGAAAATGTTGAGACATAATTCAAAGTTTGTTGAGAAGCACTCTGCAAGCCAAATAAAACACATCAGCAAGACGGATCTGGCTAGCACAGCACATTCATGACCTCTGTTTGGTGTCCCCTAACACCCAACCTTGGGCCCCAGCCACCTTCAGGGCTGGTAAGGAGGCCTCTGCTTCCAGGACCCATGCTCCTCCCTCGCCTTCATCCTGGTCATGGGGCTCTGCCTTCCCCAGAGCTGTCCCGGAGCTCAGATGACCCCTGTGCAGGAGCCCATCTGCAATACAGCCTCCAGGCTGGTCAGCCCGTGTAGACACCTGGTCGTTCTCCATGTCCCTTACCTGCCCAGCTGGTCACGAAGCAGAGGTCCAAGCCCCAGGAAGCTCAGGAGCACCGGCTGCAGAGGAGAGAGGGTTGCTGGTGTTTCATGCACCTTCTTTGCTGTTACCAAAGCTCATGTTTAAATGCAATTACTTTCTGCCCCTCTCAGGCAACCCAGTTGGCACACCCTGCCAGAGGCCAAGTCCCATGTCCTTTAAGGAAGCCCTAGCATGGGGCTGCCCATTCCCTAGACGTGAAAGGCATCTAGTAAGTTTGCTACTCATTAGCTGTGGGGCCTGGGAAAATGACTTAGTTTGGCTGGCCTCAGTTTCTTCATCTGTAAAATGGGAACACTATCCCATGCTAGATAAAAAGGGACAAAATTAGACAAATTAGATAAATTCCCTCCCAGCTTCACTCATGTGCAGGAATCCTGGAAGAAGGTGAAGGAGAAGGAGAAGGAGAAGGAGAAGGAGAAGGAGAAGGGGAAGGGGAGAGGGAAGGAGAAGGGGAAGGGGAAGGGGAAGGGGAAGGAGTAGGAGAAGGAGAAGGAGGAGAGCAGAAAGGGGAGTTAACATTTATTGAACCTATTATGCGTGAGGCACCTTGACAAGGGCTTACAAATGTCATCTCAACTCACCCTGCCAATCACCCTGGTAGGCTATCACCCCACTGTTCACACAGTCCCCATTTCCACTTCACAGATGAAATCCTGAGCTCCAGGGAAGTTGAGCTATTTGTCCCTGGAAGGGCCCAAGATTTGAACCAAGATTCAAATTTGATCGGTCTCAACATCAAACCTAGAAATCCCAGAGCAGGGCGTGGGGCCACCTGGCCAGCTGCAGTGACCCCCCTGCTGAGCCTTCCACCCCTGGCCCTGGACTGACACTCCCTCCCACGGCTCCAGCATGTGTGGGCCCAGGCTCCTGCGCCCTCCTCAGGGGCTGCCCTGCCTCCACTCTTGACAGGACCTGCAGGCCTCCACCACCCAGCCCATGCTTCCTGCCTGTGTCACAGGGGTGCCCAACCCAGTGCTGGCCTCCTCCTCTCGGTGTTGCAGGCAGCCTGCCAAAGCCATTCCTGGGCTCAAGTGGACCCTGTGGACAAGAGAACACTCCCCCAACCACTGCCTTCTTGGCCCAGCCAACTCCTTCTCATCCTTCAGAACGCAGTTCAGACATACCTCGTATTAGGGGCTGTGCCTGGCAACCCCAGCTCCCCAGGCTGGACTGAACGCCTCCCTAGGCCACACCAGCACCCACCTTGGCCTTGGTCTCATGCTTTATCAGTGAGTCCGCTTTGCAATGAGGGGCAACACTAAGTTGAGGTAAGGCGCTCTCCCGGGGCCACTGCCTTAACCTGAGGGTCCCGGCAACTGTCCCCGGGGCCACTGGTCCTTGCCTCTGATGCCACCCTGTGCTGCTGTTACCCACTCTCAAGCAAACCACACCCTGTTGGGAGGCTCTGGGGCTGCAGAGGCTGTGAGGATAGAGCCTGAAGCCTCTGCTGGCGTCCCACCCTGAGCTCTGAGAGAACCCCCAAGTGAGAACCCCCACCCTCTGGGTTACACTTTGCTTTTCCCATGTGGCCACAGGTCCCAGGCTGGGGACTGGGCCACCTTCCCTTCCTCATGCTTTACTTTCATGCCCAGCTCTGGGTATCTTCTCGTCGGGGACTGTGCATGCCTCTCTCAGGGCTGAGTAGAGCTGAGTGGTCCAGGAGCCCTGGCTACCCCCAGGTGATATCCCGTGGTATTGTTAGCATGGGAGGTGATGTAGTGAAGACAGCTTGTCAGCTAGGATGGGGGCGAGATGGCCATCTAAGCAATGTCAGAGCAGGGCACCCACTCAAAAATGTACAAACATATCTTCCAATCTTCCAGCTGTTGGGAGAGCTTGGGCCATCCAAGGGCACAGCGCCCCCTGCTGGCCATGCTGATGATGTGCCCTAGCTCACAGGGCTTTCCTCTGCAGCAACTCCCCGGAAGCTGGGCAGGGGAGTGCTGGGCGGGGTGGGGGCGGGATAGGGGTGTGCATGCATGGGCCATTTCTCATTCTCTCACATACACACATGCTCTGACATCTCTCTTGAGGCCCACTGGCACCACCAACAAACCAATCACATAGCCAATCAACAAATTCACAAGCACCTGTGGTGTACACACTGGCCCAGACTCACCTTACCTGGATGCTCCCCACCTCCACTCTCTGTGTTCAATTTGCCAGAGTCCTCCTGCCCCACCTCCCATGGTTCTCACCCCCACAGAACTGCCCCTTGTGCCTTCCTCCTCAGCCAGGTCTTCATACCCCCAGCAGGACACATATCCAGGGCCTAACCAAGTGGCCTGACTCTGCACTCTCCTGCGCCCATCCATCCCGCACACCACCCACACTCTAGTCCTCTTGCCAAGAACGCTCCAGTGTTCTCACCACCAGCTCCACAACCTCCAGGGCTTCCCAGTCCTTGAGAAAGAGCCCAGGGAAAGCCTTGGGTGATCAGACTCAACCTGCAGACGCAGCCCTGCCTGCCTGACTCCCACTCACACCTGCCCTCTAAGCAAACTGCAGCAGCACAGCACCATTCCCGGAAAGCCCCTTCACAGCAGCCTCCCACACACCTCCACAGCCCCCACCTGCACAGGCTCACTCAGCCTCACAGAGCCCCCCTACAGCCCTGAGCCCTCATTCCTATGGAAGACTCATGCCGAGGCCCTCTTGTCCATTCCCATTGCACATGGACCCACCAGGCCACTCACCTCTTCATCTGAGCCCCCTACACCCAGAAGCACCCATGGCCCGACACCCTCTGTGGTGTCCACCCTCCCGCCCACACTCAGGGTTCTGTACAGAAAAGAGTGACGCAGGGAGCATAGTGAGCATGGGCTCCGACACCCAGTTTCCCCGGAGAAGCCTTTCAGATAAATCATTTTCACATGGCAGCTTTGGTCCTCCGGGAGGGCAGCAGCTGAGGAGGGGGCATGACGGGGCAGCCAGCAAGACCATTGTTCACGCCTTGGCTGCTGGAGCCAGGCCCCTACCCCAGTGCCCCTTATCCACTGGAGGAGACCAAAGGAAAACAAGGTCTGGTACCCGAGGGGCCCAGTGACCCATTTGAGCAGCTCCCCTCAAGCGGAAGTTTCCCACATGACCTTCCAGCCGGGCCCTGGGCTTTCCTGCCTCCACAGCAACCGCAGCTCCTCACTTGGCACTGGGTCTTGGCCCAGGGCACAGGGGGAGGGAGGAAACGGGGAGGTGGGGAGAGGATGCACAGGCCTGCCCCAGACTCCCAGCGGGCAACAGCCCTTCCTGTAAGGACTTCTGGGTCCTCTGACCACCTCTTTCCACCACCCAAAACTGGTCATGGCCTGCACGGGTTTGGGGACCCGGTGAGCTACACCCACATCACTGGGACGCTTCAAAACAGCTGTGTGACTCCAGGCGAGTGTCAGGACTGTGGGTTCTTCATGCCCTCCTGGCTAAATCAAGCTTGGAGGGCCCATGTGGAGATTCGAGGGAAAATGCACACTCAGGCCCAGGAGCAGTGTCTGGCACCAGTGAGTGGAGCTCCCTTTTTAACATATTCTTGGGTATCGCCTCCACCCAGGGTCTGTTTGTCCCCAAATTTAAGCTTCCTGGGTTCTGACTATGTTGGGCCCAGTGGTGTGGTCTCTGCCCAGCTGGACGTCAGCCTCCCCTCGGCCTCAAGGGCCTGATGCTACCACCTACGTCTCCTGACCATGAGTCTGAGCAGTGTTGCTCCCTCTCTAAGTCCCAGGAATGGTGCACTTGTCTGCCACTGGTATCTCCACTCCCCAAGAACCTTCCTCACCCATCCTACTGGGCCACCCAGGACTTCCGGCCCTCTCTGGCCTTCTGACAGGCTCTGCTGTAAGCTCAAGCTCTCCACCTCCTCACGCCCAGCCTCTCACAGGACCAATGCACCTCAGTAGGCGCTTGACCGAGGGCGGCAGGGCCGTGTTGAATACACAGATTTCCTCTATGAGCCTTTGCGGTGAGGAAGGCAGAGAGCTTGCCAGCAGCCTGGCCTTTTGTCCCGTGCCCTAGGCCCTTTGGAGGGAGCCCCTGCCCTGCCCCTGTGGCCTCCCCACATCTTGCACTGTTGCCTGGCCTTCTGTAGCCAGCGCCTCACACCTCCCAAGCCTCAGGCGGAGGCCTGCCACTCACGGGCCACAACTGCCATGTCCTTGGAGCCTTAAGATGCAGGTGCTGAGAGTTCGGTCTTGCCTGCAAAGGCCCCCCTGGAGAGGTCCCTCCCATCAGGCCTGGAGGCTTGGGTCTGTCTACATGCATTTGCATGGGGCATGGCTGGTTTCCAGAACCTCAGAACCCAATCCACCTGCCCACATAGCCCACACCAGCTGACCAGTGACAGTGAGGCCAATCACCAGGCTCCTCCTCACTCTGAGGTCTCCCTGCTGTGACCGTCCTCAACTTTTGATTCCTCCTTCTTACAGCCCAGCTCCCCGACTGGACTCAGTTCTGGGATTTGGGATCTGGCCTTGATCTCCAACTTGCTCCAGACTGTGCCTTGGAGTTGGCCCAGTCCATGGTCAGGTGGGCTACCCGGAGCCACTTTGGGCCTCTCAGAGCCCATTTCTTTGGGCCTCTCAGAGCCCATTTCTTTGGCGGTTGGTGCTGTGGACAGAGAAGGGTCTGGTGGAGAGGGGAGCAGAGACATGCAGGATTCTGGTGCCTGGAATGGCCGAGGTTGGGCCCATCGCTCCCTGGAACCACTGGCTGCCTCCTCTCTGGGGCTTGTGTTTGCCACAGTCTGTGAGCTTGGTGCCCACACCCCGTGGAGCACCATGGCCAGATCCAGGCAGCAAAGGTGAGGTTGGCTAACAGAGAAACCTGCGGAAGCCTCTGGCCCGCATCCCATCCCAGGCTCAACCTGCCTCACAGAAAGGACAGGAGACCCCTGGCACTGGGGCTGGAGCCCAGGGCATCTCTTCCAAGTTCCTCTGGATTATGAAAAATATTTAATGTGATATCTCAGCTCTTTTCAAACAACATGGGGTGACGTCTACAGGGCACTTGCCTAATGCTGAACATCTGGGTCAGCAGTAGAAATGCCTCCAGTTATTGGGGTGGCTCCTAATATCCAGATGTCAGGCACCAGGGAACCCAACTTAGGGACTAAGATCCTCACTTGGGAAGGGTCCTGGGGGCTGTCAGAGGGAGGGTCACCACTCGCAGATGAGCGAGTGTGCACATCTGGATTCATTTCCACGACTCAGGATCACCCCGGGCAGCATCAGGGGCTGCAGGGGGATGGGGGTCACAGGCTCCTACCCTCCTCTTGGCCCTGGAAATATGAAGGCCTTCTGTGCCCTCCTCCAGTACCACCTGTGAGTGCCTGGCACACAGTGGGCACTCAGTGAATGCTGGTAAGTGCCTGCTGACCAGAGCTCATATGGGGGAGCGCACCTCCCTGGCAAGCTGGATCCCATCAGTGTCAGCCCACATGTGCACCAGCCTCATCTCAGCTGGGAGAATCGCATCAGGACAACGGGAAAACTTCTCCCCATTCCTCTGCCAGGTGGGCCCAACGCCAGAGCTGCGATCCAGGGCGTCGCTGCCAAGTTTCCAGGCTCCTGTCAGGCATCACTCCCACCCAGGGGGACCCTGCACAGTCTCACTTCTTTAGAGACAAATCAAATTGGAGAGACTTGGCTCGCATCGAAGACAAGGCTATGTTGTTTACACACATTTTTTGGGAAGAGGGAACAAATTATTTTTCTTCTTGTCCATGGGATGCCGATGATGAGTTCTGGGGGAACCACTCAGAGGCACCTGTCGCGAATTCCCAGGGCAGGGCGAGTGGCGCAGGCTCCTGATTTAGAAAGAAAAGCGCAGCATGGGTCCTCTAAAGTCCAGTGGCAGCAGCTTGCAGGGGACACTGTGGCACTCATGGTGCCCTGAAAGTCACATGGGATGGAGGCCACAGTGGACGACGCATGCCGATGACATGGCAGGAAGGGCAGGTCTTAACTCAGCCCGAGGGTGCTTCTCCCCGGTGCCACAGTCTTGCACTTCCGGGCTTACTCATCAGGACCAAGGGGAGAGGCAGGCTGATGGCTCTAGGTCTGGGTCCCTCTGACACACCCACACAGTGGTGGAGCCTTGAGGACAGCCTGGGGCCTGCTGCAAGTGTCCCAGGGAAGAGAACATGGGGGATCTCTGCCTGTCCACATTGGAATGCCTCCTCCGTGGGAAACACTGCAGGCTGGGCATCTCTGGGGGAAACCACCAGGAGCCTGCACAGAGGCCCTGCCCAATGCACTGGAGCGTGAAGCAAGGACAGTCTGCTTGCCCTAAGCGCACCCCATCTGGAGAGAGTGACTATGGCACTGGCCATCCTGTCAGCTGGGAACCTCAGGGAACCAAGGCAGGGAGAGCCCCCAGAGGAGGTGGCAGCTCAGGTGAGCCTCACATGATCACCTGCAAGGAGGGGATTTCTAGAGGGGCATGAGTTGACTATGGGATGCAGCTGCTGCTGCTGCTGCTTCTTCTTCTTCTTCTTCTTCTTCTTCTTCTTCTTCTTCTTCTTCTTCTTCTTCTTCTTCTTCCTCTTCCTCTTCTTCCTCTTCTTCCTCTTCTTCTTCCTTCTCCTTCTCCTTCTCCTTCTTCTTCTTTCTTCTTCTTCTGGCTAAAAAGAAGGAAGAAAAAGTCCCACTCAGCTTTACCATCCAGATCACATTTGGCAGAGGCTCAAAGAACCTGCGTGTGGTGCCCTGGGTGGAGGAACGCTCTGGTCCCGACAGCAGTCTCCCTCTTGCTAAGGCCTTCCCTGACTCCCCAACATCTGCTCCCCATTTCCCTTCCCTGGTCTCCCCACTCTGCAGCCTGACCATCACAGACACAGTGTGGGCGGGACTGTCAGCCCCTCCAGGGCAGCACCTTGCTTTCACAGGGCTCACAGTTGAGCTCTGCCCTGAGTGCCTTCCATGCGCAGTGCTCATTCATTTTGGTTCATTCAGCACCTTCCCATTTTACAGGTGGGGAAACATAGCCCCAGAGAGGCTAAGTGACTTGTCCAAAGCAACCAGCTGGTGTATGGCAGAGCAAGGACTCCATCCAGGCTCCCTGACCCCAGGGTCTGCATAGTTAACCCCTGGCCCATAGTATCTAAAATGGTAATGTTATCTAAGGTCTGGAATTTTTGCAGTTGCAATGTTCCCAGAGCCAAAAACAGTGGGTAGCACATAATGAGATCTTCATAAATGTTTGTGAAATGAATGAATGTAGACATGTGTAGACACACATGCATTACAGTGAGAGAACTTTGTCATCTCAGTTACACTGAACCACATGGCATTTCAGCTCGGGGTCCCCACTGTCTGTGTCAGAAGCCTCTGGGGCCTGTGAAAGCAGCACACACCATACCCTCGAGTAAGGGTAAACTACCAGCAAGCAATGCTGGGTGCAGGGAGCATGGCCTTTGGGCCAAGCACCAGGCAGAGAATTGGAGCATCTGCTGGAGTCATTTTCCTGACCCTTTGTCCTTCTGCCCACAGTTCTCTCCCTTTCCCAGCACAGCCTGGAGGTTGGAGGCCTCCGTAGAAGCCTCATTGAAGAGAAGACAGTCTGTACTAGAAACTCGAGGATTAGAACTAGGATTAAATCCTGCCTTCTCACTCGGAAGTTGTGTGATCTTGGGCAAGTGTTCCAACCTCTCTGAGCTCCAGATACCTCTGGATTGACAAGGTCAGGGTTTCTCCCTGAGAAGTAACTTTCTAACACCTTGACATACACACTATCTTGGCCTATGTCCCGGACCGCTGGG